GGGGGGGGGGGGGGGCAGACACTGTACTTGTACCGTCGGTAGTTTACCGGTACCATCGTGTTCATCAACAGCTGAATAAGAACGATTCGCCGGTGATCTTACCCTGGAGCGATAAGCCATTACATAAGAAGTCGAGGTGAACATAAAACCACCTCGTACTTAAAACTGAAAAGTAAGAAAATACTTCAACTTGCTACACTATTGATCACAAATATTTTTCCCTAGTCTCTGCAGCATGGAGTTGTTTACAAAGTCCTTGATGAAGATTGCATTTTTCTGTTTTCGTGAGTCTGAAGAGCTATTTACGTAAAAAAGGTTACTGCTGTTGTTGCAGGACCAAGAACAATAATATAGAATCTACAAGTACTTGTTATATCATGTAAAATACTTATCTGTTCGTGAAATTTGATTTTTTTTCAGAGAAACAAGACATTGTTTATTTATTATGATTCTAATTGTGAACTGCCAATGGAAGACCCCAGAAGCAACATGTACCAACTGATATAGCTGATATATGATTTGTTTCGTTGTTTATATTGTGCGATCTTTATTGTTTCCCTTAACAACAAAATGGCTGCCAGTTCGTAACTCAAATTAACATGTCATGTAAGAAATTTGTTTTGTACAAGATGTTTTATGAATAAGCAACCGGATTGATAAGTATATTTATAGGAAGCCAACAATTTTGAATATGTTTTTTATAAATGCCATATAAATCTAGTGTGCATTTAGATTTTATCTGATTTGCTATAGCAATTGTACGTTGGGAACAATTAAATACGCTCCCCATTTAATTCGTCGCCCCTCTCACAAAAGGGCGTATCGTCAAAATTACCGGTTTTTAGTTAACACCACCATGGTATGTCGGGTAGTGAGATCTACGTTCTCACTAAATGGCGTATCCATAGCTTTAAAAATGGCGGAGTTATAAGCAAAAAACATTTAGCCCTATCTATAGCTCTCGGGCAGGAAACTGCATCTCACATAGAGTTAGAGGCGTATGCCTTGTTACGCCCCTTTGTGAGAATATATACAGAGGCATAGGACCGCATAGCCATGGTATAAGATGTTTCCTTTTGTTTTCTTACTTGTAAATGAGGGGGATGTATCTCATTTCATGTTTATTAGTCTTACTGATTCTGTCTCGCTGCATCCATGAGGGACTTTTATACGCTTCCTTACCATTAGTTCAAGAAGACACGTGTTGTTTTGGTACCAGTGCTTTAAATTTGATCCTTGCTTTCAGCGTTTGATGTTCATGCACCCATAAAGTGAGAGTATCTTAGCTGATTTGTAAGCTTATAAACCTACACTTTAAAAAATATTTTCTACTAGTTAAAGTTTTAATTAGGTCCATATAAGTCCCCAAAGATGTGGTATTGCAGAACGGTCTGATTATATTGACGATTTAGATGGAGACCCGTCTTTCAAACCTGGTTTCTGTGTCATGCAAGAAGGACATATTTGCTGCTTGTGGAAGGTGTGTATTGCTCTTGTATTACACATACAGTCACTTTGTGGAAGAAACAGGCTCATGGTAGTCTTTAAAAAAAGCCACATATAGCATCATGAGTAGAAAACATATAAAGCTAGAAGAGAATAACTCTGTTGTCGTTGGATATTGTACTCAACCTGAAAATTTCATGGTAGAAGGTGCTGCCAAGGAAGTCACTGCTCAGAATTGAAAGGTCCACAGTCCAATCAAGTATAAAGAAGCTAACCACAAAGGACATTTTTGAGAGGAGTTCCTTAGCCCTATAACTGAAATACATGTTGGAGTGCACAGGATTTAAGACAAGTATGAATTTGAAAGATTATGGTCGAAGCTGTCACACTATTGCGAATGAAACATTCCCTCGAGGGAATGTTCCAGCAATAATACAGACTTGGAGACTATCACTTCCAATGTGAGTTCGTTGTTGGTCACATTGACTGCTCTGAATCTATGAAAGGGACGAGCTGTTCTCGCGGACAGAAGACCAATACATATTACTTGACTGTTGATGGAATACCGTCATCTATAAGACAACATCAGCTGGTGCTATTGAAGTAGAAAAAAGAGGATGATGATGCCCAGCAACTGTCAGAGAAATAGATGAAAAACTTTCCACCCTCATTAATGCTCAAATTGCGAGGTTCCCTGCTGTTGACTCACATCCCTACTGTAGGGTAGGTCATCATCATCATCAATGCCTTTCACCCCTGGCAGGGTATAGGCCACATACAAGCTCCTTCCATTTATCTCTGTCCTGAGCCATCCTTCCAAGCTCGTTCCAAGTGAGCTTCATTTCTCTCATGTCCCTTTCCACGCATCTCCTCCATGTTTCCCGTGGCCTACCTCTGCCTCGTGCTCCTTGTGGGTTCCACTGCAGTGACTGTACTGGTTCAAATGGGTCTCGCTGATTCCCAGTATGTGTAGTTGGTATCGCTGCATTTCTTGGAGAACTTGTGCAGTTTTTCCAGCCTCATAAAGGGTCTTAATGTTCCACGAGCCGATCCGAAGAGACTTGGACTTGGATGATGGTGGAGACTTCTGCCCAGCAGCTTCCTTTCGGCTTTCACCACTTTGCATCATAAACTCTCCATTTGGAGAAGATCCATGATCAGCCAAGCAGAGATAATGTTTTCTGCTTGTATGTGTTTCTGTAACAGGTTTTTTTTACGAGAGAGGTTGTTAGCCTCATGACTCAACCCCCGACCTGGAGGCAGGATGACTCTGTTTCAGGAGTCACTACCTGGTTCGCCATTTAGTCGCCTCGTACGACACGCTAGCACCACGTCAGTTCTATTCTTCTCAATGCCGAGACTGCACGGCTAAGAGTAGGTCAGTTTCCATGTAAATGGACTTGCTCTCAAACCTGAACTGAAGAGGAAACAAAACAAAGGCTGAACAATCACATCCACGGAAAAGCCAAAGTGAGAAAACTTAAAGAAGATACTTTCAGCTGCAATATAATCATAAACTGAAGTGATATTATGGAACAGACTCAACAGAGACTATTCAATAACTATTTATTTCCTACAAACACACAGTACCAAACAGTAACCTTTAAGCCCCATAAAAATCAAGTCAAAGATGTTCCATTGACTGGAGGAACACACAATGCTCTTTTAACTTTGCCACATGTAACTTATCACAGGCTGCCACGTGTACTGTGTTTTCGCATTGAAGTGCCTTTCCAGATCATTTTAATCTTTCTTTACAAACACTTGCACAATATTTCATTGATAAACAAAGTATTATGGGCTAAAACGTTTAAAAGGTATTACACAAATTCATTACACATGCTCAGAATTTATCTCTCTACTAATATTGTTGTTGTCTAAGGATGGTGCACAGTCCTGAATGAAATGATCTGTGCAGTACTAGTAATTTTATACTCATATACTCATTATATTGTGCAAATTCTGCATAATACCTTGAACACAAGTAAGAAAGCTTAACTCCTTAAGTTATTTACATTTCATATCGTGGAGACCCCAAACCTGTTTCATGTTCTTTTCCTTGTTGTTTTTCACTCCCGAAAGTAGATCAATTTGGCACATTGAGTTGATAAACATGTTCAATAATCAAGAAAACAATCCCTTTTCTCTTATATTCTATTACCAAACGATGTGGCGTATTGTCAATCTTGTGTCTTTACGGACATAATTATGTTCTCACAAACAGGCGTATCAGCTATTTTAGACCATTTCTTAAAAAACTAATGACGCAATATCTATAACCATTATAGGGAATGATAAATCGGTGGTTGTACTAATATCTTGCCAAAAATTTAAACAAAAAAGCAAACGGTTATGCCACAGCAAGAATTTAAAAAGTGTCCAAAACTTTGAAACACTCTCCTGAAAAATGCCAAAAATGCCCTCACGTCCTTTTGTGAGATGGATGACGAATGAAAAGTAAAACTAAATTATAAGGCTATAAATATATTATATAGATTATATATTTCATATGATCACAATAAATGGTTTACAGTAACTTGGTCCCCAAATCAAATTGCTCATTTCGACACAGCAACACCACCTTGCCACCACATTTTAGGACTTCCGTAACGAATGACCACCCCAACCTGTCATGTGTGTACATCAATAGCTTGGACTTAACTGACCAACTATGTTATAACGCCTCAAGGCCGTAATGTGACCTCCTTGGTAATAAAGGATAACTTCCGTTACTACTCATTCTCACTGAGGTCTTGTGTTTGTTTGTGAGCACGTTTTATAATTATTCGTCAAGCTATAAGCATAGCCAAGAACGTAACATGGTGTCAGAAGTGCAGAACTAACGTCTGTTTCCCCATTGTAACTGGCAGGTAGGCTTTATAACATTGCCTTTGCTGTAATCGCAATTTTCTTTGCTCACATTTCTATTTTGGGCAGCGCATCCGCCCAGGTACTGGTACCGTGAGCGCACCCACAACGTGTTTCGTTCAGACCACGTGGAGTTATCTGCAGGTGCAGACTGCAGGTAATTTCGGGAAGCGTACTGACCGCAGAGCGCGTACTCCCCAGATTTGCTTTGTCGACACGTACCAACGTTGGTCAGGTTCGTCGCCGGTGACCAGATTGGTGGTTGAGAAGGATAAAATAAAAAATGTCCAGACTAAAATCACCAGAGGAACTTAGTTTCTCAGACTCCCATAGCCTCGCAGAGAGATGGAGAATGTGGTCACAAGAAATGAGACTATATATTGATCTCACCATGGCAAAAGAAACCGAAAAAGACAAATGCTCAGCATTTTTATATATCATTGGCAGATCTGGAAGAGAAATCTACAATACTTGGACAATTCCTGAAGAAGAACAGAACAAACTTGAAGTCTTGTTCAGAAGATTTGACCAATATTGCAAACCAAAGCAAAACGTGACTCTAGAGAGATATAAGTTCAACAGTAGAGTACAGCAGCCAAATGAGTCTCTGGACGAGTTTGTTACAGACCTAAAGCGCTTATCAAAACTTTGCCAGTATGGAACTTTGGAGGAAGACATGATTAGAGACCGTATTGTCGTGGGAATAAAGAACATGGTAGTAAAAGAACGACTGCTCAGAGAGCCAGACCTCACCCTTGAGTCGGCAATGTCTATTTGCAGAGCGGATGAAGAATCCAGAAAAGGGCTCAACATAATGGCTGAGGAGGCAGAAGCAGTGAATGTGGTGAAGACTAAGAAGTTCGTCAAACCACCAGGAAAACAGAAGAATAAAGTCGAGACATCAACCTTCCACTGTAACAGATGCGGAAGCACTCATGGAAGTAGAGCATGTCCGGCGTTTGGAAAAACTTGCAACATATGCAAGAAACAGAATCACTTCGCCAAAGTGTGTAGAGCTAAAAAAGTTCAGCAAGTAGTGGAATCAAAAGAACAAAAGCGCCATGAGAGCCGAAGTGATGAAGAGTTTTTCATAGGTGCTGTAAATAACAATAAACAAGAGGAAGAAAACTGGTTTGTTCAACTCAACTGTAGAGGCCAGCAGATGAAAGTCAAGCTGGACACAGGAGCTCAGGTGAACATAATCTCAGAGCAACAGGCAAAACAAGTTAATGCTCTGATAGTCCCATCAAAAGTAAGACTGACGTCATACTCGGGGAACAAAATCCCAGTGA